AATGCACTCGAAAATTGTATGCCAAAAATGGCGCGAATGAAGGGACAACCATCATCCAGCTTGTGTGTGTGTGTGTGTGTGTGTGAGATTAATTGAAATTATGTATTTATGCAAATTGAAATTTGTTTTTTTATTGTAACAAGATATACTCAAATATTGATATAAAAACAAAAATGGCCCCAAAGTTTTGACCGAATTGATATCGATTCAAACGGACATTTTTGTTAAATGGACTGAAATGTTTGTTTGAATGGTTTCTTTGAGTCAATAAAAAGTTCTTTGGAATTGGGCAAATGGTTGCACTGTTGAAAATGTTCAAATAATGCAAACCAAATGAAGACTGATACGCAGAATACGTTCAAAATGATTGTATCGTCGAGAAAAATGGTAATAACACCGAAAGTACAAGGCAATGCATTGACAAAATATCAATGACCAAAAGATATGAGCCTACACGACAACAACGCAATAATTTATCGAGTTTTTCTAAATGAAGAATGAGTATATTTCATAAATTTTAATCGAATTTTACCCGATGAAATGCTGAAAATGTCTCGTTTTTTTCTCCATCGGTCGATGAATCTGTTGGGTTCGGTTGGAATCTGTTCCGACCGTTTTGTTTTAACTTAATTACAAAATGAAAATGATGATGAAAAAAAACTAGTGATAGCGCAAAACATTGCGTATTTAGAGAAAGAGCCGAAGAAAGGAGGCAGCAGAAAAAAGAGTGCCGGAGGCAAAATTTGTTTTTAATCGCCCCGAATGTTGTCATGAATTGGGACATGTGCTACGAAAATTTATCTTTTTCACTTTCATCAAAATGTTGTGTTGAAATTACGGAAATCTCATCTTCCTCTCCGTGTCTCTCTTTCTCTCGTCGATCGTTGATAAAATAAATAAATAAAGAAAAGAGGAAGCTTGCACAATGATGGCCAATGACGTTTTTTTTTCACGGGTAGTTGTGCATATATGTATTTTTATCAGCGCAGTTACTAATGATGTTCACCGATTAGCACTTGTCATTTTCGTGCTTTCGAAAGACAAGATGAGTCAATTCTACCTGAGCAGCAGCAGCAGCCGACGACCGGAGAGAAGGAAGAGAATGAATGTGAGAGAGAAATAAAAAAAAGGGAGAAGAGCGCAAATATGCAGCAATCGTGCACGATACAAATGATGATCGAAACAAAACAAAAAGCAGCAACGGCAACGAACGCTTGAGAAACATATGCCGTCGCACACTTGCCTTCACATTCCTGAATTACACTATATGTGTCATACACCTGTCTCAATACAGCTGACCATCCCGTATGGGTATTGTCGCCGCTGTTACATTTTTTCCGGCATTTTGTTGCTGCTGCTGATTGTGTTCTGTTTCACATGCTGTCGTTGCTCATGTTTTCTAGCGGCCACACGAAAAAAGAAGAATAAAAAACAACAATGTGCTTCGGCCACATAAGTAGGAGCCGGTCGTCAATTAAATAGTTGTTACATTGATAATTATTGGAACTTTCAAGGAACAGATAAATACACAGCAGGAGAGAGAAAGAGAAACGGTGAGTCCTTTTGGGGTATCGATCCGTTTATTTGAATAGTGGCCCGATTATTGTGAGTTCAAGTGAGTGTTTTCTGTTTCATTGTGCCATCGCCAATATTGCGTATCTCGCAAAAAGGAAAACAAATACACTTCAAGATAAACAGAGAGGTGCTCATTTTTGGTTTTCTTTTCTTCTCTTACTCTCGTTTCGTGCGGTCTTTTTTTCCTGTGAGAGATGAGTGAGTGCGTGTTATGTTTTGTTGTTGGGTAAATCGTTTTGTTTGCAAAGTTTAAACTTTCCAGAATGTTTCGAAAAGTGTCGCAGATATCCACACAAAAACAGAAAAGGGGCCATGAGATCTGTTCTCAAATGAAAGAAGCCAATGAGTGATTGCAAATAAACCATTATTGATCCATGTGAATCGGTTTGGTGTGTATTCGCACTAGTCGGAAATTCGATAGCGATCTCTCTTTCACACTCTATCTCTCGCATATACCTCACTGTGCACACACAAGTGTTTCACAATTAATGAATTTTATTTGCGTTTGTGCTGTTTTCTGGCGAATGTTTACGTTTTCTGTTTTTTTTTTCTTTCTTTCTCTAGAGAATTATCAAATAAATGGATAATTGGGACGCAATGATCATGGCACATAATATACACACACACAAAACCTGTTTTTCTCATCAATTTATATGATGTATGAGCTGAAATTGAGCAGCGCGCAATGTGTGTAGTGCAAAACTTAGGCGGTGACTATGTTCGATATAAACATCATTTGAAATTTGCATGGAAAACGCCACGCTCTGTCAATTTATGCAGAATAATTGATAAAATCAAAACAAAAATGTAAATATCGATTGAGAATGATACAAATCAAAATTCTTTAGAATTTTCTTTTTCATAAAAATTGTCCGAAGTCTTGAAATATCTCCAGTAATCAATATTTCAACTGGAGAAGAAACAGAAGTCGAACCAATGAATGTCTCTTTTTTTCAAGTAAATGGGTGATAAAATAAAATGGTAAGTAGTGAATGGGTTTCATTCCAGTTTCATGTTTGTTGAAACATTTACATCATTTGTTTAATATTTATGACGACACGGTGTAAACTTACACCAGAAAAAAAGACACGACTTTCGTTCATTCGGAACTAGTTGTGTGAATACTACACACTGAATAGTGAGAGAAATATTTGTATTCCCCTCAATTCTTTTCATTTCGATTAATTGATGAAGGGAGTAGTGTAAAACAGAAGCATCTTTTACACTTCTGGCGTACAATCTGTAGGCACACGCACGACATATATTTTATCATCAATTACACCTAATTAAAGATGATATGTATGGCAAAACAGATCTCTCGCCTCAAATACAGCTCAAATCTTCTCACATAGTTCATACATATTTTTTCGAACAATATTTATCAATCGGTTTTAATTTGTACGAAACAATAATTTTCTGCTTATTTATTGTTGTGCGACTGATCTTTTTTTTCCCTTTTGCTTCAACAATATTCGGTTGTTTTTGTTGGAATTTTAAATTTGTATTGAGATATAAATCACCCTCTGCACAACAATTGAGCCACATGTGATAAAGGTGGCAGCAAAAAGATGGATGGAAAAAATTATTATTCTTTTTTCGGGCTATTATTATACAACTCTTTTTTTTTATTATTGATAGCAAATGCTGTTGCTCGGGATAAATCCATAAGATTTATAACTTATGTGGGAAATTGAAAATGTGTGTGCGCGCCATCGTCCGAGGCAACAAAGCACATGCACATTTTTTTTTTCTGGTTAGCATTCAATATCCATCTGCACGCATGTACCGGCCTTTTCGAGATACACACACAAACACACTGCACGCATTTTCCAAACAATTCAACACAATATCTTGTGTTGTTTCCACATTGGGCATTTGTAACAAACTTTTCCATGCGATAAAACACGCATAATGTAAGACAAGGAGATACACCGTATATCCAACTAAAAAAAAGATAAAAATAATACCGTTTGTCGAGTCATTTCCGAGACTCTGTCGTTGTCATATTGATCATATATAGAAGTGAGTTCAGCTCAGACTTGGCGGTTCCCCCTTCTCTCTCTTTCTCTCCTTCTCTATCTTTGTATGTGTGTGTGTGTGTGTGTCTCGGCTCGGAACTTCAAATGACGTATCACAGGTGTTAAATACAAATGCCACAATGAATTATATGCGCCGTGAATTAGAACAACGATTAGAAGTAGCAATACACAGCAATTGAAGATGTATTTCAACTGAAATTTCGGGCATTTTTTCAACGTCGTTGTCTACATCACCTGAGCTTGGATTATGTGAACAGAACTTGTGTGTTTCAAGTTTCTTTCAAACGCGTTTTTATTTTCAAGTAAAAAGTTTTTTTTCTGGACGGAAAACGAATGGAATTGATTGTTTTATTTAAAATAGGCGATTAAAAGGGAATATTGAATATGAATTTTGAATATGAATCCAGAACAAATCCTAATAATGCTTTAAAACTAAGCTCTGGAAATATTCCAATAGAAATTAGTCCAGGAATTGAATGTGGAATCTTGTTATCGAAATGAATGAATGTGATAAGGAGAACGAAATGGTTGAATTGAACATTGGATTGACTGAGGCAAATTAAAGACATATCGACAAATTCAGGCCAATCATGGCATCGTCGATTCAAAATAAATGATTTGAAATACGAAAAGGCAGGCGAATATACAATTCAGGGAGTTCAAATTCGGTGCTAACCAAAACAAAAGCAAATGCATGTATTCTAAAGGAAAAGTGGGCGAATGTCGAAAAGCAAACAAAAAGAAGAATTTTTGAACAGAAACTTCCAATTGTGTCGTTGAGAATAAAAATGGGATTAGCCGAAACCGCTCATTTACATGTGAATCATTTTTGTGTTCCTGGTAAGAGATAGAAGACATATGTCTGCTGCAATGTTTTAGAACATTTCAAGATCTTTATCTTTGCTTGAGATACTTGCCCCATATCTTGTACCAGAAACACAAAAATGATTCGTATAAAAACACGCGGTTTCGGCTAATCCCATTTTTATTCTCAACGACACAATTATAGAACACATTTATTCAAATTCTTGTAATTATAGCTCAAATCGACTCAATAATTGCTGTGTTGATTGTTGTCAAACCGTTTGACTGGAATTCCAATTAAAAATTCCATTTGTATCAAATCGATTCACAACATAGTTTTAGCTGACCGGCCAATTCACATCAACATAATATATTATACCATTTACATCTTATCTAAAATATTCATTGAATAGTATTGGAATACAGTTGTAAAACGGTCATTCTGTTTTTGAACACCACCGTTGCAATCGGTTTGTGCTATTCGACTAAATGGTCCGAAGTGAATACGAGTAAATGCCATGTGATTGAATGGTTTGTAATCGTAAATTGTCAAATGGTTAAAATTGAAAAATTCATACTCACTAATGCGAAAGTAGTTCGATAGTAAATCCTGTAAAGCGACCGAAAATAAACACCACCACCACCACCACAACACAGCGTTGAATTCTTCAATCCGATCGCGGGGACTTGTCCAAAACACACAACTTAAACCCAAAAAAAAGATGTGCTACGCTTGCCACATTCGACTATTATGGATAAGCTGATACATTTGCTCAATTTTTTTTTCGCTCTCCTCAAATACTCAGTTGATCATCGGAAGATGAACTTTGACAAAAACGGAACATTCTTCTTAAAAATTAAAAAATAAACAACGAATTCCACTAAAGTACAGCGAATTAAAATAAAAACACACAAGAACACAATGTAATATAAAATATACACGCGAAAATAAAGTGCAATCGCAGTCCTTTTCTTGCGTTTGAGCAATCGTTGAAATGTGTAGAATTTGACGGAAAAAAATTCGTTTGATGTTGACCGAAAATTGATTTTGACGGTGCCAATGATATTATATAGCAAACGAATGAAATTCAAAAATGTTGATGTGTTCAATTCAACGTTCCAGAGCGTACTAAGCACAAATGCTGTTCCAACGGATACACACAGCTCTCCGCGACTGCAGGCACACACTACGGAAAAACTAGCAATAGCAGCAGCCGTAATGTTTTTTCGACTCACTCGCTCGCTCGGTATGTATTACGGCAAACACAAGTGCTCCGCATTCGTTAGAGTGCGTCGTTTTTGTCGTATGTCTTTCGTTCTCATTCTTTCCCTTAGTTCAGTCTGTTGCTGTCCGCTGACGCGCTCCACAAAATCATTATGCAGTCTTTATAACAATCACAAAATAAATATCATTTGATTATCCTTTTTTTGCCACCTCGTGTGTCTTATGAAACCTCTTTCCGCGTCCCATTCGCTCGCTCGCTCGTTCGCTCATACACCGTTTTGAGATCGTCGAAAGTGTGGCCGTTCATTTATTCGTCCGACTCTTTTTTTTTATTAATCAAAATGTGCACACATTCTTTGAACAGAAAAAGGAACAGCGAAAAAAATGATGAATAATATCCATTGCACGTTGATCTCTGTTGAAGCGTTAAAAGCGAACACCCTAGCATATATTTTTGGTATGTTTCGCATGTGACTGAATGACAGCCAAATGAAAAACGGAGTGAGTGAGAGAGAGAGAGAGAGAGAGAGAGAGAGAGAGAGAACCAACATGACATCAGAAAGAAGCAGTATGTTTAATTTTTGTGTACAGTTCAGCATGTGTTTTCGACACATCTTATAAAAAACGTTGAAATAACAACAACAACCACAGCATTCCATTCATTCATCTTCCGCTCTCCGTGTCTCTATCTCATTAACTCGTTATCTCTTGCTCTCGATCCAATGATTACGATTTTGTAACGCGAGCATACACTACACCTTAAATGGTTAAATGTTTAATGATTTGAAATTTTCGGTACAAGCGCAAAATTGCAGCCGAAACGTTGTTATATTTCAATTTGTGTGTATGTTGCATGCATGTCATTTCATAATTTTCTGATCCGTTTTCCGTGTGGTTAATGTGTGCATCACTGTGATGTGGCGCGCCATCCTTCACCAATCTAAAGGCACAACCCCATGATCATCCATGGTTTGTTTGCATCGTTCGTACTTTTTGGCTATTTTTTTTTATATTCGTCGGTCAATTTCCCGCTGCTTCAAATCAAAAATGCATCGATTTCGAAAACCATTTTGACAGGCCAGTCAAAGATACGCAATTCCCCTTTCAATCTCAATCTGCGTTTAATTTATGAAAAACAGACGCTTTTATACGTGAATACATTACGTTTTCATAAACTAAACACAAAACATACGCTTCGTGTGTTGTTTTTATTCTCGTTTTACTTTGTTGTGTTGTAAGCCATCAAGGTTGACGAAACATGTGCTTCTTTTCGGCAAACCACATGGGCGAGAGCCGTCTAGAACACGCAGCAACAGCAGCAGCAGCGTTTACTTGGTCTTCTTTTATCACACTCCCGATGAACATAAACCACATTCAGTCAACATCTTGATACAACTGTATCACTTTTCAACCATATCAGACCCAGCACATTTTGATTTATTTGATCATTTCACAGGACGAACGCGGGCACACACACACACACACTCACTCTCTCTTCCTCTCTCGTTCACCACATTTCATATGTCCTTTTCAGAGAATGTCTGCACATAGATTTATTCAAATAAATCAAAAACATCAAATAAATTTATGGATATTTTTCATGAGTTACGATGTTTTAACGCATTTGCAGTATAAAAACGAAATGGTGAGTAAACTTACCATTGGAAACCATTGGAAACCAATGGTAAGTTTACTCACCATTTCGTTTTTATACTGCAAATGCGTTAAAACATCGTAACGCATGAAAAATATCGATAAATTTATTTGATATTTTTGATTTATTTGGATAAATCTATGTGCAGATATTCTCTGGTCCTTTTTGAACAACACACATGTATCTTGTTGATGGAATCCTTCAGTCCTCCAGTCAGTTATATATACTCATACGTTCTGAATGTGGATTAATTTTGTTGCATTTTAGGACATGAAACTTGGGTATTTTGAGTATTTAACCACAATTTTGGACAATTTATGGCATTTTAACTATGAATCTTTGACACCTTGACAGTGTTTCTTTTCTCGTTATTTGTTGTTGTATCCGAAGAATGTTGAACACTATTTCAATATTGATTCAGATTCATCCGCTCTAATTACAATCGGCAATTTTCAATAAGCATATTTAATATTAATGCCAGTTATTCAGAGCGACAATTAAAACGGACAATCGATACATTTTTAATGATAGAAATCCATATCTTTGGAATTAAATCTTGAACAAACAAAACTAGTTTGATACTGAAATTATAGTAATTTTTTGAAGATACAATAAAATTCAGGGGAAATCAGACGAATCTGGAATCCTCACGAATCGTGATTCTCGGTCGATTTGTTGTTGTTGTTGTTATCAAATCGATAAATCACCGCATTCAAAACGAGTGTAAAATGCGATTGATGTTCAATTGCACATATGATAAGTGGATTATCATTCCAAACGCTTTTGAATCGAGTCATAATTTATGGTGATGTGTACGACACAAATTGGCGTACAACACAGCATTTGAAAATGTGATTTCAACGAAACATGTCATGGCATTGTGTGCCGTACGAATGTTGTTCGGTTGGTGCTTCTTCTTCTTTTTATTTTCCGCTCTCTATCTCCCTCGCGCTGTGTGTCTCTCTTATTTTTGCCGCTGTCAGCGCATTAGATGGATTTCATCGTGGCGTTATCCGTGCGAACAATATGTGCCCCACATATATGTATAGTATTCCGAAAATCGTGTAAATGGTTGAAATTATCCCCGCGTTTGCATTCCTTTTCAACACACGGCTGACAGCCGATGTTCGATTGATGTGAAGGAGTGGTGTCGAAAACAAAAAAAAAAAACGACGTGGTTCTTTTCGCGTTTGCATATGCATATGCATGTGCAACCAGCTGTGTGCCACTCTAATTTTAGACTATTTACGAAATGTGGTTTGTTTCATGATTTGATTCGTCTTCGTTAATTTTTTTTTTTGTTTCTCTTTTTTCATTCGGTCGGTGTGTTGTTCTTCCTTTTCCTTTTTAATGTCTTTTTCCTGGCCTGCACTGTTCCACACAAGTCACGCGGAAGTGCTTTCCTAGATGCATATGCTGTTTTTGGTTTTTGTTTCTGCTGTTGCTTGAAATAGACCGATTATCGATTTCTGATTTGATCATTTTATTATTCGATCAGCCAACTGAGAGAATCTCAACGAATGAAGAAAAAAAAAACCGAAAATTTGGTGTGCTCAAGGTCGCCCACAACTGTCGATGGTAAAGTGATTAGGCAAAAAAAAAATATCGTTGAATTGAATAATTCCAAGATGATTACGCGCCGAGCGTAACGCGTGTCGATGCACGTGATTCAGCGATTCACAAGGCCTTTGACAGGTGCCGAAGTAATACCGAAAGGAATTGTTTTTTTTCGCTTGCTCGCTTACTGCCTTAATTGCTATCACCTGTAATATGAATAAACCGATGTCAAAGTGCACACTTCATCTGCTGCCGCTACCGCCACCATGGCTGTACGGTTGTTGCTGTTGTCGTCGTCCTCGTCCTCGTCGCACATCGACAGTCGGCACGTTTTTAGAACAACACACTTCGATCCCATTATTTATGATTTTATTCCTGGTTCTTTGTCACTTTCATTCGCATTTGTGTTTTTGCATCCATTTCTCCTCGTGCAGCGCGCGAACGAGCGAGCGAGTGAGTAAGCGAGTAGGCACGGCCACTAACCATGTGCATGTACGGCAATTTGTATCGTTTGTTGCCTCGCTGCCTAATTTGTATGTTTTCCAAAAATTATGAATGCCGCGCGCGCAACGGTGGAAAAATTTATCAAGAACATACCTCAGCCCATCGCCTTTTTTTTGGCAATGTGCAATCAATGAACGACGAATAAAACACATAAGCTGGACAAACACACATACTGAGCCCGAATAGAAATGCAATAAGCATTCAAAAACTCTCTTCTATGACCATCAACTTTTATATTCATTCAAGTTATGTTTTGTGTGCGCGCCATACAAGTTCTCCATTTCCAATCCCGGATCATCATCATCGCCGGAATTCTTATAGAATTTTCTTTTTCTTTCTCTTTTCTATCCTGCTCTCTTCCATTCCTCCTTTCTCTCTGTCTCGCTGTGCGTACGTTGCTTTTTTTATTCGGTTTTTCGTAGCATTCAAATTACTTAGTACGTATAAATATTTTTCGGTTTTTTTTGCAGGCACGCTTGAGAGTCAAGCTGCCGTATGAGTGCCATTTGGTTCTTATTGCGTATTGTGCACATAAAAATAATAAAAACAGATGCTATCGGGTCCGGTGTGTGTATATGTGGCGCAGCTGATGTTTTTCATAATTTCGAACAGCGAACAGCACATTCATGCCAATACCGCCTTATAATTTTCTGCTGCTGCTACACCAACATCCGATGCTCTTTCGAACGGCATCAGCGGCAGCAACAGCAGCAGCAGTAGAGTCTGTCGCATGAGCACATATTTTCACAATGCGTTTAATTCAGTTTAAATCAATCAATAAACTCATTTTTTCCCCTTCATTTTCTTCTTGTCTCTCTCACACTCCCATTCTTTTGCAATTCGTTTTGTGTGTTCCATGGCGTCATATCGTGTGATCCAAGCCAAATAATTGAATGGAAGCGAAGCTCAATTCAAGTTGCAAATTCAATATCATGATGCATTGAAGCCAAACATGTGAACGCAAAAAAAATGATTCCATCTCGAAAAATCGAGAGTTCATATTTGCAAGAGAAAAAAAAACGACAGTGCAACGAGATGAGAACATTTCGGTCGCCATGAGAAGATGTCATGTCGGCAAAGTTCAAGTGTTCTGCGGCTTTTCCATGCGGACTGAAATTGGCATGAACAACTGATAAAACTAACACAACATCAACACCGAACGTGCACTTACGATAACTATGTAGTATGGTCGCCCGAAACCGAAAATGTCAATTACAGAGATTTTACCAATTCACTTTAGACCACAAAGTTTTCCAGCATTGTCTTCTTCAACGACAACGACAAAACATACACACAAAGAAAAAAAAAAAGAACAATTTGTACGCAAAAAAAGCAATGACAAAACGAACGATATGTTGTTTGTGTTAAGTTAATGAATGAGATGAATATTCAATTGTTGGCAGATGAGCCGAAATTACTCAATTCGCGAATGGTGTTCACACGTTTAATGACAGAAGAAAAACGTTATGTTGAATTAATAATCAACATTTTTCCTTTGAAAAAAAATGCCATTGATAAAATTCATTTGATTTTCAGCGCTAAAATGAGGTACTTTGTGCGGTATTTTTCTGTTCCTTAATAAAGTTCATTAATTTCTTTTCCAATGTTTTGATAAATTCTTATCATCGTCGTTTATTTCATCGAAAGTTTCTGAATGGGCCATTGTCTGGTGGTAATGACCTCCTCTAATGAGCAATGCTCATAATAGTAGAGTGTAATCAAGTCGCGGCAATAGTCATGTTACATTTTATCTAAAAAAAAAAGAAGATACAAACCAATATTCGAAGTCTCAATAATTTAATGGCCAACTAAACTATTACATTATTTTTTGAATGCGCTGTACCAAGATTGTTTATGGAAATGACTTTGTCATGCGCTATGAAAGCGGAACAGCAATGTCATTTTCATTAATCTAAAACTACCAAAAATATGATAGCAATGAATTCATGAACAATCGATGAATGTTCATTCAAATATTTGGAACGAAGCGGCAATTTTTAAACGATTTAGTCATATGACTCAATTTGATAAGTTTGCTGCTGGTCTGTATAAAAGACGATGTCGCTTTCAGAATGTTTCAGTACGATTTCACTTTTCAAATACGACGCATTTGTAAATTCAAAAAACCATGTTTACTAAGAATTCGTTTGTCATTCTTTTCGTGGGTTGCATTTGTTCGGCAAATGCAGTTGAAAGCGTAAGTTGAATTCATTTTTTAACTGCTTTTCTTGTGTATTTGAAGTTTTCTTTGCATTTTTTCAGCCATTTTTGGATCTGTACAAAGTGGCCGATGAAAAGTGTCAAACAAAATTCAACCTAACCGATGTACAGGTCTCATTGGTCGAGTTGTTAAACGATTTTCAGTTCAATGCAACAGCAAAACCTACGGACATTCAAACAAATTCCATCTGTTATATGCAATGTTTGGCTGCCAATCTAGGAATAGTAAGTACAAACCAGTTTTATAAAAGCATTGAAGAATTTTTGAAAATAAATTTAACTTTTTCTAACGAAATCAGAATTTTCATAGAAAGAATGACAAATTAATTTTTTTTATTTAAATAAAAATTTTGTTTTACTTATAAGATTGACGAGAATGGATGGCATCAAGTCATTGTGGATGATTTTCTAAAGTTTGGTGAAGAAGAGAATTATAAAACCGAAGTTGAGAATGAGCTAAAAAAAGACGGACCACATTTTGCTCAGTTGGGATCAATTTGCTCTTTTCGACAAGCCACCCGCAATTTGATGGTGGACATGTGGATGAACTTGATTAGCCAAATAAACGTACTGAGAATTATTAGTTTTATCGATGCAAAGCCACAGTACAAAACGCTTTGGGAGTCAATGATCAAGAAATGGTCTTGTTTGGCTGGAGTTGAAAGTGTTGGAAATTAACTTGATTAAAATATTGATTTCGGCTTTTTTTTCTTTTGGTTAGGAAAATGAGAATGAAAAAAGAAAGAAATTCAATTTTAATTTGTGGAAAATAAATATTTTGGCCAAGAATTGCTCGCTTTTTTTATCTTTTATTTCTACACTGCAACATTTTTGAGGGTAAAGACTAATTTTGAGCTGTGGTAATATCATGGACCGCTAGTGTCAAGTCACATAATACGAAATGCATCCATTCTTAAT